TATATATATATACATCCGCACCAAATTCCAATACAAATACCCTCATTTTTTGCCCTCAAAATTTCTTCTGTTTCAATAATTTACAAGTTATAAGGAAGCTACCATGCGCTAAGACAAGAATGGTCAAACAATCAATATACTGAATTACACATGATAAACTAGAGATCTTGATGAAGACAAAAAGAAGAAGAAATGCAACCAATTAAAACAAGCCCTTGAGCTGTCGTCGTTTTTTACTAAACAATTATTTTATAAAAATCACAATTTTTTACAGTTAACAAAAGTGTTTGTCTAGTTCTAATTCTTTTGGGAAGTTCTAAAAGATAACCTTAATAATCCAAACAAAAATAAATGCATTGAATGAAAGTTCCATACAATTCTCGGATGAGTTCCAATGCAAAGATCCCCAAACATAGAAAAAATTAAAACTTTTACAAAATATTTTGTGGGTTCATGAAAAAAATGCTACATTATCGTTGAATAATAATTTAGTAGGTAGGTAAAGCAGAAAATTTTGAAAAAGCAATGTGATAATTAACTCAGTCTTTACCTAAAGATTTTGGTATGCGGTCGAGACTTGTGATAGCAACAGTAATATGGATATATGTTGATGATATGATGAAAAAGTTTTTGTTCTTAAATTTTTCTCACGACTCAACAATTTCCTTCATTGTAGAAAATGGGGATCTTTGCATTGGAATTCGAAGAGCCAAGGGCAATGGTGGCTTTGGTGGATATGAGATGCCATCACTGTTAAAAGAACATTTTCTTTGCAGATCATGCCTCAAGTCTTGGTCCTATCTTGTATCTTCTTCACCTATCCCACCTCCATCTAATCATTGCCCTTTACAAGTGTCGTTGAACTACCATTTCAATCTTGCAACGGCCACCACGATGAGGAGAAATCACCAATGGGTGGCAATTCATCGAAAGGGGTTGGAGGTGAAGGTTACAGGGATGAGGTAAAGTGGGATGGGGTGCATGACGTGACGTGGCATGTCGACTAGTTGGGATGGGCAAAGATTGTGCGTGGGTATGCGAAGAAGATGATGTATACTTTCTTTTAAAAAAATATTTTTCTATTTATATTCTTTAATCATTTAAAATGAGATATTATGAAAATACATTTTTGCCCTTCTTTAAAATGGTTAAAATCTGCTCAATGTGTGAGTTATGTGTCCATTAATAAAAAAAAATTGGATAGAAACCGTTCAAGGGATCTCACATTGCATTTTAATTTAAAAATTGGAACTTCGATCACGAAAATGAAAATAAAAGATTTTGGTGTAATTTGTAAAAAAATAAAAAAGTTTAGGATCACAAGTGTAATTATTCCTTTTTAATTTTTGAAAATTTTACTCTTTTTAATGGTAAAATTAACGGAATTGGACGGTAGGAGGGTTTTTAAAACAAAATTTTTCAAACAGGAAGGTTTTCTACGATTCCCAATGAGCATGAGGTATATCGCAATTGGAAATTGTTCTAGGAGGTTTTTTGCTATTAATCCCTTAAAAGTATTACAAAAAAATTATTTAATATCCTGCTTGGTATATATTTTTTCAAACTCATTTTTAACAATATATTTTTTGAATAAAATATTTTTAAACGTGGTACATAAATTTTTCCTACTTTTAACCATATATTCTTTGATTTTTTTTTCTTAAATTTTATTATTCAAAATTTACATCAAAAGGACCGTCGTATTCGGTAGATATTAAAATCAGATTAAAATTGAAAAATTAGTCGTTATTGTTGACTTTTATTAGACGAGTGAGACCCAATAACGACTGTATTTTCAATTTTAATTAGATTATAATTTTTGCAATTTTTACTGTTTTAAAGGTAAAATTAACGGAATTGGACGGTAAGAGGGTTTTTCGCATAAAATTTTTCAAACGGGAAGGTTTTCTACGATTTCCAATAAATATGAGGTATATCGCAATTGGAAATTGTTCTAGGAGGTTTTTTGCTATTAATCCCTTAAAAGTATTACAAAAAAATATCCTGCTTGGTATATATTTTTTCAAACTCATTTTTAACAATATATTTTTTGAATAAAATATTTTTAAACGTGGTACATAAATTTTTCCTACTTTTAACCATATATTCTTTGAATTTTTTTTCTTAAATTTTATTATTCAAAATTTACATCAAAAGGACCGTTGTATTCGGTAGATATTAAAATCGGATTAAAATTGAAAAATTAGCTGTTATTGTTGATTTTTATTAGACGAGTGAGATCCAATAACGACTATATTTTTAATTTTAATTGGATTTTAATCTTTACGGAACGAGCACAAATATGTGGAGAGGAAAAGTTATATTTTATTTTCGAAAAAGTTTCTCCATTTAATACAGTAGAAGTTTAGGGATAGAGAAGAGAAGAGAAAAGGTGATAACGGTAAAAAGAATGCAATTGTAATCAATACCAACAGTGCACGCTCTTTGGTTCTGATCTCATCTTCTTCTTCTTTTTTTTTTCCTTCAAAATCTCCAATTTGGTAAGGATCGCATTAAAATAATATTTGCAAGTAGTGTACACTTTTTTTTTTCTTTTTGGGAGTTCAAGGGGGTAAATGCTTGTAATTTACTTCGGATTTGCAGAAAGCTTAATCCTGGTGAGTGAATATGCGTTTTTTTTTTATGGAATTCGAAACTTGAAATAGTTTGATGTACTTTTTACTGATCGTTGCTATTGGAGTAATTCCGATGAAGTTAAAGTAGGGGGAAACTTCATTACTTGGCAGGATTATTGTGTAGATAAATTATAGTGGTGTAAGACTTAGATCTACTTGATTAGGTAAATTGTTTATCTGGAAGCAGACGGCAAATTATCTAATGATCTAATGCTATATCTGTCACTATCTTCTCAGTATATTTGTTTGGCTGCTAACATAGTTTGGGAGGAGGAATTGTGAATTGTTCCCATATCTTGGATTTTATTTTTGAATTAGTCCTTTGATGACCTAACTAGAAAATTCACCACACCACAGCATTTATGGATTTCAGCTTTAACAAAGTAATAACTCAAATTTGGTACTTAAGAGTATTGCTAAGAGCTCGGGTGACCCCCAATTCTGTGCCTTCCCTTTTAATTAGCTCAACTTTCTGGGCTTTTTTGAATAGCTTCCGACTGTTTTGAGGTTCTCTTACAACTCTAAAAACCAGAAAGGAAATTATTGAAATTTATAGAAGAGAACAAGTGAAACCAGACTTGCCCTTCCTCTTACAACTTAAATGCGATAAACACCTCAAGTGAAGTTGCACTTTTTTAGTTTTAGTAGGTTATTAATGATCTTTATATGCCTTTCACATTTCTATTCACAAAGTAGACTCTTAATTTTATTGAAATCTATTATTTACGAATTTTTAAATATGTTATTTTTCATTTTTTCCTTCAATGATTTTATTGAAGTTTACAACAAGTGCTTCAAGCTTACTCATAGGCTGACAGAGACAAGACGCCTCTATATTTAATTTAGCCTTTTTAAACACTGAACACCTGCAATCACTACTTAATGTAGTTGGACTTAAAAGGTTGAATCTACATTTCCAGATTGTCTATTCTCTTGTCAAGCTCTTGTATAGTTGTATTGCATGTGTCTTGTGGCACATTTGAATTATAGAGTCAATGAAAATGCTCCATCGTCAAAATCAATTAAAAAGCCATCATGGCCAAGACCCAAAGGGATCAATTTGGGCTTAGAATTCCTTCCATATACCAACCAAAGTGAAACATATGAAAATTATCTGGAGTGTTTCGTATCATAAACTTTTGAATACAAACCCTGAGGGGTTGCTCAATTGATCAGATTTTGGGTTTGCTTCTCAATGGTCACCAATTCGAGTCTCCTCAGAGCCATTGAGGTGAGTTCTCGACCGTAAACTTCAGGGCCCTGTGGAATTAGTCGAGGTGTGTACAAGCTAGCCGGACATCCACGGTTATCAAAAAAAAAAAAAAAAAAAGCTTTTTAATACAATCTTTTATTTATTTATTTACTTATTATTATTATTTTTTTGGGTAAATAATCTGCAGAATACTGCATGTGGTAGAAGGTAGTGTTTCCAATAACCATCCTTCAAGAAGATAAAATGCGGTTTTACTTTCTAATAAATAAGCACAAGAGAAACTTTGGCGAGAATAGATATTACTCCATGAAACAAAAAAGCATGCATCACTATTTACTTTTGTGTAGTTGGACTTGGAGGCTTGAATTCTGTTTTCCATATTGTATTATGTCTTGGCAAAATCACTTCAATATAGTAACTGTCTTGTTTACATGTACTTACATGGTAGCGTAACAAAACTAAAAGCATCAAACTTTAATTTAGATCTGTATAAATAATTTGGAGAATTTCATAGTCCTTTGTAATATCAACGTCAGTGCCATTTACATTTGTTGAATACAGAAATGGAACAATTGTTCAAGAGAATATGCATTTTTCCTACTCCCCATCAAATGTTTCAGTGTTAATATTTACAATATTGTATGGATCTTTCTTCCATTGGACTAACTCTTTAGAAATATTTGGTGGCAATGGACCGTATAACCAACTTCTTCTGCCCAATCTTATCTGCTTTTGGTTGCTATTGTTGGTTTACATGAAATTATAAAAATGTATATAAAAGTTCTTATTCTATCCCGCATGGTCGAACTGTTCTACGCAATACTTCTATCCTGGGCCGCAGAATTGGTCTTCGATGTATGGAGCGGAAACTAAGTTTTTACTTTCTGCTGTTTGTGTTACTTGCCAAAATTTTATCTGAAGGCAAAACCCAAACTTACTTGCCTTCTCTTATTCCTACCTGGCACCGTCTTTGCAACCTTGACAAGATTTTTGTTAATATGTTAGGTACAGTGGAATATCGTTGAGATGGAAAGACGCATAAAAAACGATCACCCTGAAAAGAGAACATATGGATAGGGAGATAGCTGCATCACAAATAATTATTCTGAAAGGAGCAGATACAAATACATTAATACTCGTCAGACTCACTCATGGCATCTTCTGGCCTAGGACATGGAGGAGCTGGCAGTTCAAGATCTTCTAATGGTTTCAAGGGATCATCTAGTTCAGTTGATTGGCTTGGAAAGGAGATGCTAGAAATGAGATTGAGGGACAGAATGGACCCTGATGATGATAGAGTAAGCTTTTGAGAGGCTATCATCAATATATCCCTTTACGATTTATCACCTCTTTCTTTGTTGTTACTTAGCTGTTATAGTGACTACTTTCTGTACTAATTTAAGCATTTTAGTCTTATGATTGAGTAATATTATAATTTTTCATCCCCACCACCAACAAAATTATCCTTGTTCCCTGTACATTTAGGATCGACTTCGAAAATATTTTGTGGTCACTTCATTTGGTCTGTTACTACTGGAAGATCTAAAGTATCTAGGTCCTTAACAGCTGCCTTAGGCCATGTTCGTTTTGGTCTTCCCTCTCTTCTGACTTGTTTTATTGAGATCTCCTCACTCTTATGAACGGGAGCCTCTTTAAGAAACTTATCACTACCACCTAAGCTGTCCTGATTTTATCCTCAATCGACACTACCACCACTTAGTGGCTTGCACTCTTATTTCTTATTTTATTCATTTTAGTATTAATATGTATCCATCTTAACATCATCTTTTTCCACTATATTCATAATTTCATCTTATGGACATTTTGTCATTTTACCACCCAACATTCACTCGTTATCTCATGCAGGATGCCTAGTTTATGATGACCTTTTAGTATTTATTTCACTTACCACAAGACATCTTTCATGATGCAGGACAGTGAACCCGATATAATTGATGGTGTGGGTGCTGAAACAGGACATGTCATTAGGACCACTACTGGTGGCCGAAATGGTCAACCCAAGCAGGTTGGTGGTTGCTAATCTGTAGAACTACAACTTCAGATGGCGTGCATGATTCTTTATTTTTCATTACGTTGCAATGAATTTTATTTGGATTCACAGGCCGTTAGTTACATAGCGGAACATGTTGTTGGAACTGGTTCCTTTGGAGTAGTTGTGCAAGTAAACACTGCAGACTCTAATTTGAGTTTTAAATACCTGTTCTGTGCATTATTTTTTGTTTTTAAGTGATTCAAACTGTTAACAACAGGCGAAATGTCAAGATACTGGAGAAATTGTTGCTATCAAGAAGGTTCTTCAAGACAAACGATACAAGAATAGGGAGTTGCAGATTATGCAAATGTTGGATCATCCTAACATTGTGGCCCTAAAGCATTCTTTTTTTTCAACAACAGACAAGGAAGAGATACATCTGAACCTTGTTCTTGAATACGTTCCTGACACTGTTAATCGTACTGCAAGGCAATACAGCAGGATGAACCAACGAATGCCATTGATATATGTCAAACTATATACTTATCAGGCATGTACAGGATTTGATTGTTTATTCAATGTTATTTTATTTAGTTATAAATCTGCATATACTCTTGATGCTATCTATGCATTATGTCCTTCCTTGATCACATTTTTTCCACTAATTAAATGCCTTGATATGTTAAGTACCTGGAGTCGTAGAATCCCTCTATTCTTGTGTGGGTGTGCATGCACTCACATGATTGGATGACAAATTCCATATTTAGGATCGAATTTTAATGGATATTATCAATTCTCTGATGCAGTTGTCAGCAAGTCATTTTATCATATTAATTTCTCTTACTGAGGCATTTGAACCAAAGTTGGGTTTGTTGCAGAGTGCGGTTTAGTTTTCCTTAATTATTCTGGTGCAGACTTTTGACAATCTGTGCTAACCTTTTAACTTCTGGTATCATTTGTTTACATCCTCATTTGTAATGTCTACTTCAGTAAAACTACTTTACCTCTAACTGAACTGTTTGTGATTGGCTGACATACTCAGATACATTTCACATTTTCACAACTTCAGTCTCCACTTAATGTGCAATAAATTTTACTCCAGTTATGATGTTATGGAAAACTAAAAACAAGAAGAGGATCGTACATTAAGCATTTAAACTAACAATTGGTTCATATCAGGATTTTTTTTTTGTGCTTTTCCTATACATTTATGATTTATCAATGAAAATTGTAAGTGGATGCTGGGATAAGCTTAAAAAACCGCTGTTTTACATGTTTATGCATAATCTTGGAAGAAATTGTCGGTTAGTCGTAGAACAGGCTAATATGAATGACTGATTATTGAATAAGTTCCTGGACACTGGGAAAACAGATCTGCACATCCTAATTATTCCTTTTGGCTCCCCTATTCCCATGCTGCTACCCCGTCTATCTAAAATGCGTCCTCATACAATGAGATGTTGGTCTGAAATATCTTACTGTAAGTATAATCCTTTTAGCTGGTTGGACTTGGAATTTACTTGAAATATTAAATTTTGATTGTACTATATTAGCTTTTCACCATTCTATTAGCATTTCATTTGTCAAAAATTCCTTTACCTGGGTGCAGATATGCAGGGCACTTGCTTATATACATAATTCTATTGGTATCTGTCACCGTGACATCAAGCCTCAGAATTTACTTGTAAGATTTTTCCGTTTCAATCACTGAAGTTTTGAATTTTTAGATCAATTCTGCATCTAAAGCAATTATTTTGTGAAATTTGATTGTACTTTAACTTTTGGGCCTGTAGTGGTCAACATCTGTTGTAGCTCAAGCACCTTGTTTAAGTTCCTTCTGAATAGAAACCATGGAATGCCAAGGGTTTACACACTAACACACTTGCACACTTTTAGGGGAGTACCATTCTATGATTGCTGTAACCTAAATTTCATATGCACCTGACATATGGAATTGAGGAAACAGCCAAACAGCTAAATTCCTGCTTCCTTAATTAGAGGACTTGGTGTAAATACAACCGCAAAAAAAAATAAAAAAAGATAACTCGGATAAAAAAGACATAATTTTTGGTATAAGTCCATGCATCCGAAAGGTTGTGTCATTGAGGATTATCTTGTGAAATAGTGCAATAGATACTAGTTGGCTATTTACAATGTTAGTGACACTTGAGGCCAGCCAGACTTATCTACAGGTTTTTATTTTCTGGTTATTTAAATTAAATATGTCTGGGAAGTGCGCTATAGGACACTTTTGGACAATTTATAATTTTCTGAATGTTGGAAGGAAACATTTCCAAGAACCTAAAAGGGAGCGTCTTCATTTATTCACTGGTACTGAAAATTTTGATTGAGAAAATGAAGATTGTGAGTGACTGCTGGTAATTGTTTCCTGGCCGATTTGGAATCAAAAAATGTTTTCCAATGGTCACATATGAGATCTCTTCCGTCTCAAGAAAAGTTGGAATTGTTAATCTTTAACTGTACAGTCAGTGCATTATTGTGTTAGCCTGAGTAAGGGCAGAAAGAATGGTGACCAATTTTCCTCCTGAATAGTTAGATTATGAAATTGATTGTGGAATTTTCTTTGCCTTTTTATCGTTTCATTTGAACTTTTAATTGACTAACTACTGTTAATTGACGTCCAGGTGAATCCACACACTCACCAGCTGAAGATATGTGACTTTGGAAGTGCTAAAGTTTTGGTAAGTCTCTCATGCAATGAGTTATTAGTTACAGTTTGCTTCTGCTTATTTTTTTGTTGGTATCATTAGGTTAAGGGAGAACCCAATGTGTCCTATATCTGTTCGAGATATTATCGTGCTCCTGAACTCATATTTGGTGCCACTGAATACACAACTGCAATAGATATATGGTCAACTGGTTGTGTAATGGCTGAATTACTTCTTGGGCAGGTGATTTAGAGATCTGAATGTTTCAACTTCTCTTTTCAAAATTTACACCTATTTGTTTTATTCTAATTTTTCTCTCTGTACTTACACAGCCCTTGTTTCCCGGAGAGAGTGGAGTCGATCAACTCGTTGAAATTATAAAGGTGATAACTCTGGTTCCACATTTTAGCTATGATCTCACAAACAAGTTATCTTAGTGGTGACTATGGTGAATCGCTAAAAGTTTGAGTCCGATATTGCATATCCTGCAATCGAGGCATATGTTTATTAGATCAAATATAAATAGTTAATTTTCTAAGTTCCAACAGTCTCCATATAAAGCGGAGTAATGGTGCAGAAGAAACTAAACTCCAAAAACTTGTTCTGGACAGCAATAAAAACATCTACATGGACCATCTGCCAAGTATGAGAGAGTAATAGTGATTTTTTTTCTTATCCATATTCCCTTGCTTTGCCACCATACTTTGAAATCTTAAATTACTGCTTAAGAATCTTGTGGAGGTCACTCATTTTTCAATGACTTGGTCTTTTTACAGGTTCTGGGAACACCTACCAGAGAGGAGATCAAATGCATGAATCCAAACTACACTGAGTTCAAGTTTCCGCAGATAAAGCCCCATCCTTGGCACAAGGTTTGTTCAATCATCATTTGTCATCCCCGTTAGGTTCAAGAGCTGTCAAATAGCTCAAGACAGTGAGATTGATATATAGCAGCCCTCTTCTGTCAAGGCGAAAGCTTGACGTGTGAATCTTGATTGTCTCATTGTCTGACTCTTGTGTGCATTGTCTTAGATTAGTTTAGACATTAATGTTGGTTAGGAACAATGCACAGAAGGCCAATATGATGCCCATCTGCAACCTAATGAACCCCTTCGTCCGCCACCCTCAAATGATTTTGAACGTGGCATCCGAATCTGATGCCTAGGAGTTAATTGTTCTTTTGTTCTGGGTCATCAGTTAGAACTTGAAAACCTCCAATTTTCCGCATTGACAAGAATCTTTGTGAAATTACTGCCCTGGATAGATGTCTCTGGTAACATTTAATATCATCAATGCTTGTCAACTTAAAATTTTTCTGTGCATCTTAAACTTGTGGAATTTAAAATTTCCCACAATTGTTAATGGAGATGTACATTTTTCTCCTCTTTTCTTGCTCTAGTTCAGTGTAATCCTATGATGTTAAGGTGTTGTCAAATTTTTTTATTTTACTCACATTAATTGCAGGTGCATGTGGATGTTGGTAACTATCTTAATATTTGTCCCACAATATAACTGTCCTTAATTAACCTTTCAGGTATTCCAGAAGCGTCTGCCTGCAGAAGCAGTTGACCTGGTTTGTCGTTTTTTTCAGTACTCGCCAAATCTTAGATGCACTGCTGTAAGTTAATCTTTCAATTACCAAGGGGATATACAATTCTGAAATTACTACAAGATAACTCATCATCTCTGTTGGTATTGCAGTTGGAAGCTTGTGTTCACCCTTTCTTTGATGATCTGAGGGACCCAAACACCCGTCTTCCTAATGGTCGCCCTCTTCCTCCACTCTTTAATTTTAAACCTCAAGGTAAATTTAACTCAATATTTTGCAATATATGGCATAGTATATGGTTGCCTGTTTTGCCATGACTTTGATGATTATTATGGCCTTCAAGATTTTCAAAATAATATGCATCTGTTGAGCTGCCTTTAATGTTCGGTGGCACCTTATTTGATTTGGATTGTTCAAGCATTTTAGTCACTTCTTCTCAGTTTAATGCACACTTCCCTAATTTTTCATTTTCTTATTCTGCGTGGCAAAACATCTAGCCCCTGTTTGCCCCAATTTTTTAGAACTCATTTTTTTCCGTACTCATTTTCAACCACTCATTTTATGGGACTCATAACTTTTATCAACTTTTCAACTACACATTTCATCAATTTTTATCAAAAATCTACTAAAAATCTGATTTTTAGCCAAACCAAATAGGGGCCTAATTTGCATAAACTAAAGCAGCCAGTGGCTCGTCTTGACATTCTCGTACCTTTATGTTATGTTTGGTATGGAAGTTTGGATAAAATTGGACAATATAAAGGGAGGAAAATGAGCTTAAATCTTGTCTGTTGTAATGTAGTCCTATTACTGTGCATACACACGGTATAACTTATTTGTCCTCCAATATTGCCCATAGTAGTTGTTGCTATTGCTAATCTTCAATTTGTGGCCATGCTTATCACCCTCATTCCACCACCACCACCACCATCTTTGTTGTCCTTGCTATCTCTGTTTTCTTCTCATCCATTTTTGCTGTAACTTGAGAAGCATCTTGACATGACATTTCATTCGTTCAGAGCTTACAGGTATTCCACGTGATATAGTCCACCGCCTCATTCCAGAGCATGCTCGGAAGCAGAACTTATTCATGGCTTTCCACTCCTAGTTGACCATATGGGATTTCAACACTCTGCTTGTTCATACTGCACTCTTAGGTCCTGTAACACCTGCCGGACCAGGCCAACAAATGTGTATTGCCTATTGCTGTATCTTGGGAAGTTATAATGACTATCTTTGAGACGAGAAGTTCATACTTTTGATTATGTATCCATTCCGTGATGGTAATGTTTTTGAGGTCTTCTATGATCACGAGTAATCTTCTGGATCTTTATGCAATGAATTGCTGGAAGCTTACTCCCTAACTATGAAAGATAGGACTGCTTTTACTCCAGTTTTCCGTATTGCCATGTAAATGAGTTTTTTGTATTGCTAAAGAGAATTTACTTCGGATTATGTTGAGATGATGCAATATTACTTGTTTATTAGTTTCTTCTTGAGTTTTTCTTTTGCCCCTTGGCAGTGCAGAGTGATGTTCATTGGCGTCCTAGGCTTCAGCAAAAGATCTTGCTGAGGACTGTGTTCCGGTGTGCGTGTAGTTTCGATGGTGGTGGGTGGGTGCTGTGACTGCTGTCCTTTGGGGGAGATAGGGGTAGAGAAAAAATATATTTCGATCGACCGCAGTACTAACCAGTTTTTCCAAAAATTAAAAATAAAAAAATGAATCTCAATATTTGTCATTCGAAAAATATGAGCCATGGTTTGGTTGGTCTCTTATCTCAAAAACTCATTTTTTCTCAAATTAATTTTCAATTACAACTCATAATTTTTATCAATTTTTAACTACGTATTTTATCAACTCTTATTAAAATTCACTATTTTTTCTATTTTTATTTTTAGTTGAACTAAAACAGTGGTTTAATGGGAAAGACAAGGCAAGAGTTGGATTTAGCATATTAACTTAGTCAAGTTTGATGGCCATTATTTTGAGAAAATAGAGTTTTAGTTAGTGATTTGTTTGGAGAATGTCTGGTTAAAAGCTAGGGAAAATTTTTTGAGTTTACATACAAAATATTTTATTGTGTAAATATATGATTGAAAATGAATATGAAAATTAAATAATTTTGAAATAATGATCGTCAAACAGAGGTTTAAATCATCACTATCCTTGTTTGATAGCGTTCTTCAAAATTTTATTTTTTTCTCAAATTTATTTTTGATCACATGTTCTCAATAAAATAATTTTATACATGAATTCATAATGTTTTTTTTACTTTTTAATTATACATTTTTCGACAAATTTATTTTTCACAAATTTATTCTAAAATAAATTTACATCAACATGATCATATATTTAGAAAGTCTATTATTACTCATTCAGAGTGTGTTTGGGACACATTCTTTTAAAAGAATGTATTATTGAATAGTAGATTGATGGAGAATGTGTGGTTAAAAATGAAGGAAAAGTTATTGATGTGATGGAAAATATTATTTTATCGAAAAATGTGTGGTTCAAAATGAGTAAAAGATTGAGAATGAAAAAAATAATGTGTACCAA